GACTGCATCTGACTTGGATTTCTGCTTAGCCAAAACAGTGTAGAAGGATGGCACAGATGGTGGGAAAATCTAACAGGGAATACTCATGTCCAGTGCATTGAATCATAGGAGAATTTCAAAATGAGCATTGCTGTGTAGAAAATGAACGTGAAAGTATTCTCTGAGGAAAGTCATGTCCTAAAGCAAGCAGGTACTCCACTGCAGTGTGAGATTTCAGAATAGGATGATGTTACGGTTTGTGTCTGGATGTCCCCGCAAAGCCTCATGCAGTCATGGGGCGGGCTTTTAGGATTTGTGATTGATCCATGATCCAGTGCTGGGATTATAGGTGTGAGTGCTCCACCTGCCCTGGAGCGGTAGTTTGCATACAGTGTAAGGGAGGGAAAGAGGCTGCTTGCCACCATTCCTCCCTTTTGCTCTTGTTGTTTTTGCTGTGTTCTGCTGCCACCGTGAACACTTGCCCTCTGCCATGTGCCACTCTGCCTTGGAACCAGCCCAGTATGGACTGAAACCTGTAAGCTAAATAAACCTTTCCTTCCTTCATTTTGGGCATTGGGTATTTTGTCTCAGCAATGAGAGAAAAGTAACCAAGACCGCTGATTATGAAATTCAGTTAACTCTTAATACAGTTATCCATAATCAATCCTTTTAATACACATCACATGTTGGATTTTCTATTTTTTTACTTAAAATTTTTTTCTCCTATTTTAAGTTGTCAGCAGTATTTTTAAAATAATTTTCTATTGTGTATATTTCACCTTTACATCATTTCCAGCACTGAAGGTCTAAATTGTGTAGAGTTTTAGAGAATTCTAATTTGATTTCACGTTTGCAAATTGGGCTAAATGAAATGTATTAGTATCACGTTACTTTTGTGTTAGCATTGTGCATGTTTGTAAAATCATCGAAACTTCTCAGTAGATGAAGAAATGTTCTTTTTTGTAGATGTGCTCTTGTTTTGGAGAGGGGGGAGGTTGTTTGTTTGAGACAGGGTCTTGTTTTATAGTTCATTCTGGCCTTGAATTTACTATGTAGACAAGGCTGGCCTTGAATTTATGGCAGTCCTCCTACCTCAGCCTTCCAAGTGCTGAGATTATAGACATATGCCATTATGTTCAGCTGGATCTGTGCTTGTGAAAGATAAAGTGCTTGAGATCTTGGCTCTGAGCAACTGCATATGTGGTGTTGACCATTGCAGCTCTTGATTGACTATGTCAAAAGATTTAGCTTTTCTGTCATGGTATTTCAGATACCTGCAGTTATAGGGGCTTTGGATATAGCTCAGCAGCATAGTGCCTGCCTGGCAAATGCAAGGTTTTGAGTTTGATTCCCAGCACCAAGAAAAAAAAAACCTTTAAACTTGGTGCACACAATTAGCAACCATAGTGATACACATTTGTACAATTCACTTTTTGACCTTTTACACCCATGTGTGCAAATGTGGTTAGTACAGGTATTTATTCTTACAAAAACATGTGTATCATTATTGCTTACTTTATTGTGTAAGTGGCCTGTGGAGTGTTCTGGTATTTTGTTATTTTTTGTTTTGGTTTTCGGTACTGAGGATTTAACCCAGAGCCTTCCCATTAAGCTACCTGCTCAGCCACCCCTCAACTCCCAAACAGGATTTGTTAAGTTGCCCAGGCTGGGCTTGAACTTGTGATCCTTCTGCCTTAGTCTCCCAGATTGATGTTGGTTATATTTTTATAATTTCTCAAATAAATCCCCTTTCAAAAATGTAAACAAATTTCTTTCAAAGAATTTTTAAATTGTTCTCTCTCTCTCTCTCCCTTCCTCCCTCTCTTCTTTTGAGACAGGCTCCCACTGTGTAGTTCAGGTTGGCCTTAAACTCACTAGCCCAAGCTGGCCTTGAACTCAAAGCAATCTTCCTGCTTCAGCCTCCCGACTGCTAGAGTTACGGGCATGCACCATGACTCCCAGTTAAATTGTTTTTTCTAGAGGTATATTTTTGGGATTTTGATCTGGGATTTTAAACTTCAGGGATTTTGATCTTTCAGAATTTCAACATTTGGGGTTATGGCATTCAAGATTTTGTCTTTTGGGATTCTGACCCAAACCCCTTTTGCTATGAATCACTTCCACCGGTTAGATACTTTGCTGTGTGGAATTTTTCTTTTCTTTTTTTTTTTCTTTTCTTCTTTCTTTTTTTTTCTTTTCTTTTCTCTTTTCTTTCTTTTTTGGGATTTTGTTTCTTTGAGACAGGGTTTCGCTATGTAGTATAGTCTGACCTTAAACTCACTTATGTAGGGAAATCCTGCCTCAGCTTCCTGAGTAGTGGAATTACAGGGTGTGTGCCACTACACCTGGCTGATGTGTAGAATTTCGTTCCTGTGGTTCAGGCATTCTGTAAGCCCCTGGATTGTGGGTCTGCCTGAAGTTCTGAGGTGGGAAAGACAAAGCCAAACTCAGAATATATATTATATCCCAGAGAAGTGAACTACTGTATGGGCCTTCTGAGATGGGAGGGACCTGATGTTGCCTGCTTGTTTCCTAATGACTGGTGGTTCTCCTCAAAGACAAGACTCCTGTCAGGTACTCAGGTTGTTCTCTGCTGCTGACGGGTTTGGACTCTGAAGAGCACCGGTAGCTAAGTAGACCTTGAGAGGAGGAAGTCCATGCTGCTGGGCCTGTGCGCAGCCTTCATCTCATGGCCACCCATTCATGTACTTACTGCACCAGTTTTATGTCATCATGGCTTTTCGGGTTCTCTTCTCCATGTCTGATGTTTCTTGGTTATTGTTAGCATAGATTGAAAAAAATCTTCATACTCTATGCCCTTTTCTGTGTCTCCCAGGCTTTTTTCTGGAACTATATTACTCCATTCCTTAGGTTTTAGCTGGTGGTTGGTTCTTTTGCCTTACAGAGATTCGACTGGGATCCCTTCATTCCATTCAGTTGGTAGATGGGCTGGCCTAAGGTGGCATCACATACTTGGTGCTCTGCCATATGGGCTTGCTTTTTCCCTAAAACTAATTTGGGCTTCTTCGCAACATTGGTATTCTCATGTTACAAATAGCTCCATGTGGCCATCTTTGGAAATAAAATTTATCGTATAAGTCACTTCATCTGCTGTTTTCTAAAATTTTCTAGACTTTTTTCATTTAGTGTTTTCTCATGTAATCTTTTATACATTTAAAAATCTTATTGACTGTCATATTAGTAAGGCTTTAGGAGAGCGATGTTTGCCTGTTTAATCAGTTCTGGTTAATTGGCAGTTACAATCTCTGGAATCAGGATTTATTGCTGATTTTCTTGATGGTTCTCCCTACTGTCTTATTAACATACTAGAAAGCAAGATGTCTTAATTGCTTTTCTTTTTCTTCTTTGTTACCATCTGGTAGTTGGCAAGTTGCATTTCAGTGTGTTTGTGGGATAAGTATTTGGGAGTAGTCTGCCTTATTAGAAAGGAATTCCTTAGAAGAGAATAAGGAAGTACATTTTCTGAACAGAATTTTAAACTTGTATTTATTATCACATGCACCAGTGTTCTTTCTGTGAGGGATGTGGGCTTTTTCACTTTCTCTTTCTGGTATGCCTGTCTTTTGGTTGAAGTTATACTAATACCCTGGGTTTTTGTTGTTTACCTATACCTAGTTATCTGAGTGAGGGCTACAAAAAGGTCCTCTGGTTTCTCATATAGGAGAAAAAACACAATAATTAGACATATGTATCTGATTTATTTCACTTAAAAGTGTAAGATCAAGATGCATCCGTTTATCGAAAAATGACTCAAATTTATCCTTTAAGGTAGAGTAGTAGTCCATTGTGTATAAAAGACACATTCTTTAATCCATTCATTGATGGGCATCTAGGGTGTTTCTGAGATTCAGCTACTACCAGTTGTGCTGTTGTGAATATGGGTGTGCATATATCACAGAAGGAAAAAAATAGAAGCAAAACTTCTGTAAATGAGGAGGGGAGGAGGGTTTGAAGGGTAAGGAAGGGAATGGGGAAAAAAAGAATTGTTGTAGTATGTACAGGTACAAATTCCCTATGATTAATGTGATCAATATGTTTGACAAATATGTACTAATAAAAAATAAAGTTAAAAAAGATTCTGTTTCAGAATATAGTAGCATTGCCCCTCTGAACATGGTTTTTGTTTAATTGTATATATTACCTTGAGTGTCTTTAGAAAGTTTTGTCTGTTTTTTGTTACTGGAGATCAAATTTAGGGCCTTTGCTCTGAAGCTACATCCCTTGCCCTTTCAAATGAAAATGATTTTTTATTTGGAGATAGTGTCTCTCTAAGTCACTAAACTGCCCGGATGGGCTTGAACTTGAGATTATTCTGCCTTAGCCTCCCAGATAAAAGGAGATCTTACGCAGTTGTGTTTTAAGAGAAAGAATTGATAAACTGGGTCATCTAGAGGATGTCAGCTAGGGTTTTTAAAGATCTGGAATGTCCAAAACTGAGACTGCATAATTTGGAGGAAATTAAAAGATATTGTAATCATTTTCAAATACCGTACAGTCTCCCAAGAAGAAAACCTTACATCTATTTGGAAATAATGAGCTTGACATTCCTGCAACCCCAGCTGAGTGGGCTGCTCAAGTAGGAGGATCATAAGTTAAAGGCCAGCCTGAGCAACTTAGTGAGATTCTGCCTCAACATAAAAAATTTTAAAAGACCTGGGGATGTAGCTAAGTGGTAGTGTATTTGATTCAGTCCCCAGTACCACAGAGAGAAAAAGAGGAGAAGGCAGGCTGGAAGAGTTTGTGTATTTTCCTACACGTTAATGAGTTTTTAGTTTCTGGTGTTGAGTAGATGCCACTGATCATGGTGAAGAAGAGCTCCTGTGTGAGGGGAAGGAACTCTTCTTACCCTTTCAAATCTTTTGTAATTCAGAGATCTCATGGCTCTTTCATAGTTATCAGCTCTATAATAAATGCTTGTATGTTTAAAAATAGATTTGTAGGGTAACATTTTTTGAAGTATATTTATTTTATAAATACCTAAAAACTTTTCTGTTTTACAGGATTTAAATACTATTTATTCTTATCTTCATGGAATGGAAATATTATCAAATCTCAGGGAACATCAGCTTAGGTAAGTATGGTGCACTGTATAAGAGCTTGTGCTGTGTAATTACTCCATTTATTCACCAAGTATTTGTTAAATGCTATTTATGTTCTTTGTACTATTTGAAGCACTCAGAATATACAAATTATGTTAGCTCCCTAGATTCCTGGACTATATATTCTGGTGGGAGATGGTTTTGGAGTTAGGGAAGAAAACAAAATGAAAATTGCGTATAATATCCCTCATGATAAGCACAGTGAATACCGTGAAGCGGGTGGTATGAAGTAAACTAATCAGGAAGCAGTAATGGTATATTTGTTGCCGTGTTTTGAGAATTAAGTGTCTGAAGAAAGCACAGTGCTCAGTGTGTGCCAACCAGTGAAAACAATCTAGTTTCATAGTTTGTATTGATAGTCTATCGGATGCTTAAGATGTACATGCTATCTTACATGAAAGTGGAAGGACCAGACCCCTGATCGGGTATAAATTCCTGTGAACAGGACCCATGAACTTTCTGACCCTCATCTTCCTTTTTCTGTAAAGTGTGCTGTCTGACTTGTTTATCTTGCCTTTTTGTGATTATATTTGTGAAAACATGTTAGAATGCCATATGTGGTTTTGTGTAACATATTAATTGAACGTGTTTTCTTTCCAAGAACCATGTACTCAGTTGCTTTTCCTAAGTGTTCTTAAAGTTTCTGATTATGGACCAGATTGCTACAACATAATTATTTGGGATTTAGTATATTCAGTGTTCTATAACATAATTCATGTGTTAGTCTGTATTACATAAATACATCAGGAAGAAAGAAGAAAACTGAAAAGTAGAGCAGTTAGTATTAAACATATTTTTTAATGCAAGTAAATGTATATGTTCAAGAGGGTTTTTTGTATATGTATACCTGTTCTCACTGAGGATGAAGCAGTGGACCAGATTAATCATAGTTTTTCATAACAAGAACATTTAGTGTGCATTGATAGGCCTTATAATGTACATATTAGCATTATATCAATGCCACTTAATATTACTTAATTGCTTTAATAAAGTATTATTGCATTATAAATTTTTCTAACTACGAACTTAATGAAAATGTCTTGTAGAACTGTTTTCTATTGATTTAATTATAACAGAATTTTCAAAACAAAATATAACATTCCAAAATTTCCTTTTTATAATTGTTAGATTAATGTCTGCAAGAGCACGCTATGAGAGATACAGTGGCAATCAAATTCTCTTTTGGTAAGTATGTCCATTATTAGCTTAAATTTGTTACCTTTGTGCTTAAATTCTCACTTTTGGTATTGAAATTTATTTTATTCTAGAGCAGTTTCGATAGAACAGGTTGAAATACATTTTTAAACTGAAGTATACATAGAGCACACAAATAGTGTCCAGTAAAGCAAATTTTAATAAATATGTACACCTGTGTAATCATTGTTACTAATAAAAACATAGAACAGCTCTCCAGAGGGCCCTAGTCAACTCTTTTGGAAAGATAATCAGTTCTAATTCTGTCACTGTAGATTATTTTTGCCTCATTTTGAACTTCTTAGAGATGGAATCTTTTGGTCTGGCTTTTTTTACTTAGTAAATATGTCTAAAGTAGGCAGGGTGGTGCACACCTATAATCACAGCACTTGGGAGACTGAGGCAGGAGGACTGCCATGAGTTTGAGTTGAGCCTGGGCTACATTATGAGTTCAAGGCCGTGCTGAACTATATAGTAATACCCTGTCTCAAAAAAAAAAAAAAAAATCTGTGTAAGATTCTTTAATGTGCACTGGGGATATAGCTCAGCCGTGTAGTGCCTACCTGGCAAGTGTAAGGTCCTGAGTTTGATTCCCTGGTACCAAAAAAACCCAGATTCTTTAATGTTTTTCACTTGTTGGTTTTTTTTTTT